AAAAAAAAAAAAAAAAAAAGATAACCAGCGTTCTAGAACAGTGATTCTCAACCTTGGCTACCCGTTGGAATCAGCTGGAGTGCTCGGTCTATTTTAAATGGGCCCAGCTCTTGACCGTTTCCCACTATCTGCCGAGCGGATCATTATCCGTGGGGAAGGAAGGAAGAGGGACTGTTGTTTTCTAAGTTTGCGTTCCACACCAAAGCCTGGCTAGGGATAAAAAACAACACTCCTCCCACCTTCTCCTTTCTCACATAGGGACCCATGTCATGGAAGGTTCTGGCCGGATGGTAGTGACGGCTGTGGGTATCAACTCTCAGACTGGAATCATCTTTACCCTTTTGGGAGCCAGCGAGGGAGAAGAGGAAGAGAAGAAGAAAAAAGGTAAGGGGCGTTTGAGATGAGATTCTGTTGCCACCCGTGCCCGTGGACAAAGCGGGAGGCAAGAGAACAGACCCGGATGGAACATCTGCGTGGAAGAAGCTGCTGGATGAAGAGCACAGATATCTGAACGTCTTGCCGAGATAAAGATGTCAAGCCTGGCTCCCCAGGGTGCTCTGATGAAAACCAAGTCAGGTCACCTCTGAGGCTCAACTCCCATGTCTGTTAATGGCTGTGCAGGGGCAAGATGTAAAGCTTGCCCCAAGGGAGCTGGCTAGGTGCTCCGGCCCCAGATGCCCTCCGTGCAACCCCCCAACCCTTCTTCCGCAAACGTGGGGGATTAAATGACCCGTCAAGGCTGAGGGTAAACTGCCAAAACCGTGCGCTGTCAGGGGAAGAGAGACACAGCTAGGAGAGTGGGAACAGAGAGGTAATGTCTCCCCCCAGAGTTAGTCCTGTCTCTGCCATTCACGTGCTCCTGAAGGGAGGAAACACAGAGGGTGAATGAAGAAGAGATACTAAAAAGAAGTCTTCCCCTTTCCCTAGGCATTCCTTCTTTCCTTGGAGGAGGGAAGGATTTCTGTCCCTTGGCTAGAGGACCATCTCAGGCTGTTTCGTGGAGGGCGGGTTATCAAAAGGAAATGAAACACGTTCCCCCAGGAGCTAGACTAGTGGTTTTTGCAGCTACCTGCAAATGAGTAAGGAGGAAGCTTGCCTGGTGCCGGTGAATTGACACGGAGACCCCTTTCAGAGCCTTCGCCATTAGGCAGAAACAGTTCCAGCCTCTCACTTTCTAACCCCCACCCCATTTCTCCCAGCAATGTGACTCAGGCCGGGAGCAGCCTCCCAGCAGCGGCCGGGCTCCGGGAGAACGCAGCTCAGGTGTGGGTGTGCACTCACCTGCACGAGTGGCTGGTCTGCACCCCCAGGATTCAGGAGAGCCCCTCGTGAGCATGGATGTGAGCAGAGACGTGAACTTCCTTTACAGTCCCTTCCCTGCCGCTCAGCCCCTTTGCTGTCGCCCTTTTGGGCTCTGAGCAGGACCAACAGATTGGATATCTGATCTCTTAATAGTCGCTTTGGGTCTCCACCCCACTTTTTTCTTTCTTGTTCAAACAGGTAAAAAACAAGGAGTCCCTGAAAATCGCAACAAAGGTAACCTCGCCACCCACTCATTTACCATCTCTACCTGCCCACACTCAAATCAGACCTTTCCAGGCCATCTGCCTTCTCCCTTTGTCCTCTCCATAAATCTGTTATCTGCTGCTGTGGCCTGGATGCCTCATCCTGAGGAAGGTGCAGAGATTTGGGGGCGGTCTGGGGGGGGGGGTCCCAATCCCAATCCAAAATGGGACAACAGCACCCTCTGCTGTTGTCTCATGGAATCTCCTGTCAAGGTTTCTCTTGGGGAGCGTGTGGGATGGATCAGCTCTTCTCTGGGCGCTGAACGCATTGCTTCATTGCCCTCGGCCAGATTTAAACACCAGAGGTCATCGGTTTCCAGGCTGGAAGACTTCAGGGTCCTCACGGTGGAGGGAGATGGGGTGGGCAGTCCCTGCACCCTCCTCTTGCTAGCTGCCTCATCGGTGTCCTCTTCTGGTCTGGTCTTCTCTTCTAGTCTTCTCGGGGGTGCTTGGACAGAGCCCTTTCTCTGTACCTCTCCCCACCTCTTTCTTTGTTCTCCCCTCAGTCTGTTTTCTTCCTCCCGATCTGGTGTGTGTTTCCTTTTTGGTGGCTGTGTCTACATCCCGTCTCTGTCTTGTTTGTGAGTCTGACAACAGAGACAGTATCTCAGGAAGGGCATCCTAAGCAAAAGGGCTGAGCTCCAACGGGGGTGAAGCTGGAGGGGTGCTGGGACCCAGCGAGAATGGCTCTCTTGAGACAGCCACTAGTGATTATTTTGCTCTTTGGACCCGTGTCATAGGAGTCTTCAGGAATAAAGTCATCCCATCGGAGAACCAGGGCTCCACAGAAATAATTCTTTAATTTTAGGTCTCTTTAACTCTTCTTTTGAAAGCAAAATGGGTTTATATGTCTGTCTTTATCCCTCTCATTCCAGAGGGTCCCTCATACCAGCTTCTTCCCTCTCCCCCCCAAAAGACTTACCCCTGTACCTCCCCACTCTGTGCCTCCCCACCTTCGTCAGACAGGGGAGAAAGGGCATTTCCTTCCGCTGTCATTCGACTGATATGAGGAGGAACTGGAAAACATCTTGTACTGGGGGCGGTCTGTGTTTCTCCCCTGACGGTCTATAGGAAGAGAGAGATGAACCATTTAACAGAGCAGACCGGGAGGGCCCTTACGCTCTAGAAACGTCTTCCAGCCTTCCCCATCGGCCCCTTCCTGCAGTGAAGATTCACCATTCTGAGCACTGAATTCCAGGAGGGATGGTTGTTGGTAATAGCGCTTAGCGGCATGACTAATCCTCTTGCTGGAATAAGCCTGGCTTGGGGCTCTGAGGTGGTGCCACGAAGCTGCCACTGAAGAGGAAACCCGTACCCCGAAAGCACTCCCGTTTCGTCTCCAGTTGTCAGAATATCATTCCAAGGCCCCAGTGGAGGGTGCAAGGCAAGTGCCCCGTCTGGCATGGGGTGAGAGTGGTCAGAATCGACATCGGGGGTCCGAGGTGGATTCCAAGAAGGAGACAGAGGAGTTGGGGTTCTCACATTCTTGCCACTCGCTACCGTCACCTTGCGTGCTCACCTGTCCTCTCTGTTGTGCGCACCCTAGCAAAAACTCAGGATGGGGTGGCCCTGGAAATCCAGCCACTCAACAGCCAGGAGGGGACCGACAACGAGGAGAAGGAGAAGAAGGCGGCCAAGCTGCCCAAAAAGGAGAAGTCGGTGCTGCAGGGCAAGCTGACGCGCTTGGCTGTTCAGATCGGGAAAGCTGGTGAGTAGGGCGGCGGCTTCTTGTTGTTCGTTAGTGCTGTTCTGGATCCTGGCCTCCCTGTCTCCCTTCTGTACCAACCGGGCCGGCAGAAAGAAGCCGAAACTTCCAAGGGGCTCGTGCAGCCCAGGGAGTAGGCCCCCTCTCCCTGCCACCCTCCGGCCACTCCCTGGGCCTTTTCAGGGAGAAGCGTGTCCCAGCGTGCGAGGGTTAAAGGCCCCGTGGTCTCTTGCCGCCAAGTGGGAAATAAAGAACTTCTGTCACACAGGGGAGATTTACTTCAGGGAGAAGGAAGACTCTGGTAACCACCCACCTGTTTCGTGTATTGACTTATAAATTCCTCAAGGGCAGAGAAGGCTCCTGTTTCCTGGAGGCAGTTCCCGAGTGTGGTCCTAGCATCTGGCCAGGCACAGGACAGTAAATTCAGAGTAAGGACTGGAGGAAAAAGGAAGCCTGTGGTTGAAGAGGCTCTTTCCAGACTGCCTCTACATTCTCCCTCTACCTTCTGTTGGGGGTTAAGGGGTAGGGGGAGGGTGGCGGGGCTGGAAGAGGAAACAGAAGGAATATTGCACCTTCAGTGGGCAGAGCCCTTCAGGTACGGTCTTGTCCCACTGTTTAATTATCTCCTGACCCCACCCCTCTCTTTACCACAATCAGAGGCTAGACCAGTACATTCTGTGTGGACAATTCACCCGGAACCTGGTTAAAGCGCAGATTCTGAGTCAGGAGGTCGGGGCCTGAGAGTCTGCATCTCTGACAAGCCCCCAGGCGATGCCAGTGCCGCCAATGGGCTGACCACACACTGGGGAGCCAGAAGCTTTGCGGAGCCATTAACCCTGTGTGGTTGTTCCCGCTTACATTGACTGACCATCAAATACAGTTAAACATTCAGTTCCTCGGTCACATCAGCCTGAGTTCAGTTGGTCAATGTCCACACTCAGGTCGTGGCTACCTTATGGGACAGCGCACACAGCGAACGTTTGAAGCATCGCAGAGAGTTCTGCTGGACCACATTAGTCTAGCCCTATTCTTTCAGTTCTAGTACCCGGCTGATTTTGACCGCTGTGACATCTCTCGAGTATAAACTGTACACGGATGAGATGAATTGCGGGTGTGGAATCACGTTCCTGAGCCTGGCGCATAGGTGTGAAACATTAAACAGACCCCGCCTAACCCCTTCTATTGTCCTCCGGATCCCTGCCCTGCTCTTTAGGGAGTGCGAGCTACCTGGTGGGCCGGCCACCGGGTCTCCTCTCGTTTTAGTTTACGTATCAAGCTAGGCCGGGAGTCGGGCGAGGCAATGTGCCACCCTGGGAGGGAGCACTTCCTTAAATTTTGGACCCTACGCACCCAGTTTGCCTCACATCAGCCCTGACCCTGCTGAAGCAAAGCTCAAAAGAATACGCTTTCATTGGTATAATCACCTCTAGCCTCACTCTGATTCTCTTGAGTCATTAGGCCCTCAGGAAGAGCAAAGACCCAAACTAGACTGGGGTTTGAAGCAAAGCTCTTCCCAGATATTTTGCCACAGAGAGGTGCAGGGTGCCCGGATTGTGATTCCCTCAGCCTTCAGAGTGGTCAGACCGCACCCGGGCCAGGTGCTTTCTGACCTTGAAAAGATTCTTCCATTTACATCAGTGTTGTAGGATGACCAGCTGTCCCCGTTGGCTTGGGACTGTCTTGATTTTAGCTCTGAAAGTCCCATATCCCAGGGAACTGCACAGCCTCAGGCAAACCAGAATAGTTGGTCCCCCAGCCAGTGTCCATTCCAGAAAACTCTCTGTGGGGAAGGGGGTGAGGGGATAGGTGAAATAGGTGATGGGGATTAAAGAGTACACTTATCATGAACGAAATAAATAAATAAATAAATAAATAAA